TATTTTAAGAAGTGTTGTATTTCGATTGATCAAATGTAATAATACAGATTCTCTTTTAAAAGGAAATGGTAGCAATATTTCACATTTCAATCAACAGGAACATAAACTAAAAGAAAAACAGTTTCTCACAAATCTACGTGAAGTAAAATTAAATTTTTATCTAACAAAAGTTATTCAGCAGAAAATCATGTACTTGACCTATAATGATGGATTCATGTAACAAGTTCAGTGGGAAGATAAGAAATTAGACTACCTAAATCATACATTGAATCTTTTGATTTATTGGTTTGAAAACTAATTTTAAAAATAACAAGTTATAACATACGTAAAGTCTACAATTGTGTAATTGAATGATATCCAACATGACCGTGTAATAGAAGTCTATCATTTCACTAATTGTATCAAAGCAAAATAAACTATATTCACTCTGAGAACTTCAAATTATAACATACTGGATAATTTGTTTCAGGGAAATATCTGTATATGTCTATCTAAAGGATTTTTTGTGGATATTATAGTCATTTTAATAGTTGAGATCATGAATCAATTGAAGCTAGACCACCATGGAATCACTGGACGGTTCCATGTTTTCTATGGTGGTCTAGCTTCAATTGATTCATGATCTCAACTATTAAAATTTATCTGTTAAAATGATATCTCGTATTATTAATTTTACTTGACAGGATACTTATAAAACTACAGATAGAAATGAATGAAATTTATCATTACGTACGTTTATTGGTGAAAAAAGACAAATGTCTATAGACTAACTATAATGATTACAATTTTAAAATATATAACTTCATTTCCTTATGATTTAATAATAACAACCGACTGCCCTTGTGTTTTCATAGTTTTGTGCACAGAAATAGTTAAATCTGTCTATGAATTTTATATCGTAGAATGTAATGTGACTACTTTTTTTCAATTTTTTTAATATTAGAAAATAGTATAGGAATCTATGTACCGAATAAACTTATGAAATTATTAACAAACCAAGACTGAAAATCATTGCCTGAGCGAAAGAAGGAAACTTGTAGTACATCAGCGATATATATATATATATATATATATATATATACCCTTGTGGGCCTGGGTAATTTTACACTGATTTTCAGGAGAACCAGGCACCATTCAGACTTTCACATGACAACCCAAACAGTACAGCTCAATCCCATTTAACAGGAGAGTAAGATACCGCCAAGGTTTAAACTTTATAAACTGAACAGTACAACTCAATCCCGCTTCACAGGAGAACCAGACACCGTACAGGCTTTAACGCTACAATCTGAATAGTACAGTTCAATCCTGTGGCGCAACAACACAGGCACCAAGCACCCTGGTAGACCAGTCGCACCATTCATATACACATTCACATCACATGTATAGTTATTCCGATCATTGATCGCTTGAATCAAATATGCACAGCACGAACAGGCCAAAGGTGACCTATTCCGCTTACACGACAGTCAAACTCATTAAAGTTAGCATTAACGACATGCCTTACAATGTCTCAATGACAATGGCCCTTGATAACACTGAAAAGCAACCACCAGTATGGATGAAATCGGTTAACCAGCAAACCAATTTTGTGCATGAACAGTCAGCAAAACTTGCCAAAGTAATGCCGAACCATCCACAATACCAATGGCGAACCTCCAGCCTCATATGAGACCTTCAGCTCTACATAGCCATATATATATATATATATATATATATATATATATATATATATATATAGAGAGAGAGAGAGAGAGAGAGAGAGAGAGACCGAATACTACTCCATTGTTTTTAAGAGCGGAAAACACGTTCAACAGACGGAATAAGAAAACACAAACACTTGTTGAGATTGTAGTCCTCTGACTAGCAGTTAATTAATGATGAATTATTCAGTGATAAACTGCCGTTACAGTTCTTATAAAAACTGGAGATTTGTGACATTTAATCATTCTATAAGTCAACATTTTATTTTACATAACACTAATTTATTTAGTGAAACAAAATAGCTTTGTTAGATATGAACATTTCTATTACTGTCTGATAAAGTTCTGCCTACTTCAAGTAGCTAATCACTCAACACTACCTCTTTATATCGTAAGTTTTGTAACCTGAATAAACAGTACGAATTCAAATGATATATTGCATTAAAACAATCCTACATTGTTTATCGAACAAAACGTGAATAATCTGAAAGTTTTTCAGTTATAATTGAATTGTAGTACTGAACAAGAACACGAGTGGAGACAATCGAATGTATTTGACACGAAATTACAAAGCATCTCAGTAAAATCTGAGAACCATATAGTAAATCCATAATTTGCAAAATATCAATCTATTGTCTCAAACTTGACTATTCCTGTTGCAAACATCAATCCATTGTCTCAGATTTCATTATTCATGCATTTTCATACCTATTGCGTTCCGTTTTCGTTCTTCTTTTACTTAAATACACTTTATGCCTGACCACCGTTATATATATACTACTTATGTGAATATAAGTAACCCACACCATAGTACCTGTGATAGTAGTTCTACACTGAAATATATGATAACAATGAAAATCATTTTGGTTTAAGAGTGAACCGCAACCTAAGTGCTAATAAAAAAAAATCAGGACTAGAATCAAAACCTTCGGCTTTACTTAATTTTCATTTCTAATTTATATGTTAAGTTCTTAGAAAATCTCAAATGGTAGGAAAACTTTTATTTTACTAGCTTGTACAATGTATTTTAAGATTACATGATATCTTACACTTTTAATTTTATTGATTAGTTGAATACATTTATAAAATACACATTTCGGTAACTTCTAATCTTGTTTTCAATTCACCACAATTAATTTTATCCATTTCATGATTATTTGTTATACGCCCACATAAAGTTATCATATTTAAATCAGAAAATACATTAATGAGTCTATGGACTCATCAAAAGTAGTTGACATTTCATTTTATAAAAAACTATAAAACATATGAGAAATTCCCAGTAATTCACTTTAGAGTAACCAAGGAAATGTCATTTACTCTTTTTAATAAGTAATTCAATCAATCATATTTTGTGGAAAATATTTTTCGCTTCTTATCTTCGGATAAAGTTTATTTGTATTCTCAGAAAAGTGTGTTTTGAATTATCAGAAGGGGTTGAAGTTAAAATTTAACACCGTTGGATGCTGGCTCAGTGGTCTAATGGTTAAGCGCTCACGCGCGAGAATGATAGCTCCTGGGTTAGAATCTCGAGAGGGGGCGGGACCGCAGATGCGCACTGCTGAGAAGTCCCATACTAGGACGAAACGTCCGTCCAGTGATTCCAGGTTTCCCATGGTGATCTAGCTTCAATTTACTCATGATTTTAACTATTGTATTTTGAATTGTTAACTATTCTGTCGATCAATAAATGTGGATATTAACAAATAAACGTTACCTACCAGAAATAGGTGTCCAACCATTCGAACAGTGTTATGGAGTTTGTTTACTCAACAATTTTTATAACATTTATGGGATAATAATGTTTCATTGATAATAGCTAGTGTATGAACCAGAATACTTCGAGACTAGTCGACTAGAAACCTTCGATTCTATTTATTTTTATTTCTCGTAACTGTTCGGGAAGCTCATAAGCTGAAATTTCCTTTTTCAAATCAAACTTGATATGCAGTCAATGATGTCCAGAGTTTATCAACTTGATAGGCTTCGCTCAAAAATAACAAGTCGCCAGAGTTGTGATGGTAACCGACATTTTTTAAGTCAATAAGCATTTGAGTGAACTAATTAGACGTTATCAGATAATAATAATAAAATAATTAAACTTGTCTCTATGTTGATCAATTAATACATATGGTTTGTATTATTTAAAAAATTTGTAATCCGATTTAAGCAGAAAAGTAAAAGTAACACTGATATCAGAATATAAGCATAAACTGTTTCAATAACAATTGGATAAATACAATTCCAAGGAGCGACGAACGTACCTCTATATGGAATAATTAAAGACGTGCTGAAGTACCAGTTATCAACGACCCTAGCCCAAATAAGCTTATCATATATATATATATATATATATATATATATATATATATATATATATATATATATATATATATATATATATATATATATATATATCGTTTACCTTTAAATCCGAACAACTGATTATCACTAACTCACTTCAACAACTAAATACCAGTTTCTACGTACTAAGATTCAAGTCATACGTTGAATATAGTACGTCGATCATGATGTTGTATGACATGTCAAAGTTCTAGTAGATACATTAGGCTTGAACCTACAACAACTCAACGATTTAGAGGCTTAAAGACATTAAACCATACTTAAAAATTCCACTTTAAAAAAAGGTGCAAAGATTAAGCGTAAGCACAGAAGTGAATATAAACACATATGCAACTTTGTTTTTCTTTAAAAAGAAACGCAACTATATTACAAATGAAATAAATGCATAAATTGAATAAATTAATGACTAAAAGCTCTATAAAAAAAAAAAGAAAAAGAAAATAACCGTCTTGTTCATGTACACAAAAGAAATAAGCAAATTTAAACAAAAGAAAAGCATTGACAAACAAGATCATAATGATAAAGCCATTGAATATTGCACATAACAACCACAAAAAAATACATTATTCAAATGCATGAGTAGGTATGCCTATATTTATAATGAAAAAAAGATGGCTTGAATAGATGCTTTACGTGTATAATAAATACGAATGAATATGAGAGATATGATACTAATGGATACCATGAGGACAAAAAAAAACTATTATTCACTAATATAAAAAAGGCCATTATGATTTAGGATGTATATGGGATAAACAGTACTAATGATACATATACAATAATTGTTTTTTTAAATATTAGATAGTTTAAAAACAGATTAGATGAAATAAGTAAGTAGGTTAATAACAAACGAAAAAAAAATGTCCAATTTTTTTTCTGTTCTCAATAAATTAACTCAAGACAAATAGAACTGAACTTATTATTTTCTTCTTATTAAATTTCAAAATCATCAAAACTATTATCTTGATGAAATAATCCAAGATGATGATAACGATTTGTATTAGTAAATCTATCTGTTTTATTTGAATTAAATTTATATGCAGGATTTTCATAACCATTCAATTGCCAATTATGTATTAAATCATTATGATGATGATGATTTGTTATTGATTTTGAAGTATTTCTTAGACGACTTTGTTTAATTGGTAAAAATTGTGGTGAATTGATTTTTGGTGCTATTACTTCATCAACTTCTACAACAGTTAATGTATAACCTTTACGATTATATCGAATTGAAGCAAAATAACGACGTAAAACAATAAATAAACAAATAAAGGATAAAATTATTCCTAAAAGAATTAATAAAATATAAGTTGTTTTATGAACATGTATTTGAGTTGATAAATTAACAACAGTAGATGAATTGGATGTATTAAGTGCTGGATCAGAATGTAACTAGAAGTAAAATAGAATAAAAAGAAGTAATAAAATGTTTACAAATAATAAATCATGATAAAATTTACATTTATATTGAATAAAATTTTAAAACAACTACACTATATAAATAACTATGTGCTAACTAGTAATTATCTCTGCTGAATGACGTGTACGATCGAGGATAAGAGTTTACTCTTCTTCTTCTTCTTCTCCTCCTCAAAATGCTTACATACGACCCAGGCAAAGAAGGATAAACTATTTTATCATTTGACGGTGATTCATTGTCTTCTAGATTAAACCTTTTGGTAGAAGGCCTGGAGTGGTTGAGCAGAAAAATCATTTCTTTTGGTTTGGGTGTCAGTATCCCAGTCTACATATTAGTATAATAGTGCATATTAATAATTTTGGGTTGGATTTTCAATGACTTTTTATCTTTATAATGGTTACTGTTAGATATAAATAGTTGGTTTATCAGTTATAACATTTATCACGAATAAATGAATGAATCCTTTATTTTTGTAATTTAAAAGTACGATGAAATCAATTTCAGTAGTAAATGGATTGAAAATTCAGCAGTTGCAGAATAAGCTGACAATCTTCCACTTCAGATTTCACATAGTGCTAGTTTTCTCAAAAACATAACTAGAATGTTTCATGATAGTGTCACACAAATGTATTACAGTAAGGTTGATGGTAATAATTTCTAGGAATTATTTTAAGACATCCTGTATAAACTCAGTTATTAGATGTTGACAGAATAGGCCAATCTTTCATTACTTGCTTTGAAGGATCACCAAGTGTAGAAACTTATTAAGGCTAAATATATAAAGCTTCTACATAATTTTGTTGTAACCGAAATATATAATTGATAGACTTAGTTGAAACGCTAGAGACGACTTATACCACAGGTAGATGGCTTCGGTAATGCTGTGTTCTCTATGCTAGACGGTTTGATTAGGAAGCTTATGTTGTTTCTCTGGACATTATCAGCTGTTAATGAAAGCTCAACAATTAAACCGTCTAGCTGAAAGAATGCAACAATCTAGAAAAAAACAAGTATATCCCATTATTAAGAATCATACAAAGTACGTCCAAGGCATCTAACACATACCATAGCAACACTTATATTCTGATATGATCCAAATTGAACAGCTGTTTTATTTTCTGTTATTTCATTACTATTCATATGAGGTGTACGTTGATTTTGATTTGATGATAGAGATGAAGAATAATCCACAGTGCTTAAAAATGACTTCGCATCAATATCGACTAAGTTGTAACCTGTTGGAATAATTGTAGTTTTCATTTGGTGGGAATTAGAAAAGTCTTAAATAAATAAATCATGAGAAAATAAAGGTAAAAAAAGTACGTCAGTGAAGTTTTTCGAAATTTTGACTTCATAGTAATAATAAGCACTGAAAACTTTTATAATTCATCTCAAAATGGATATCTGGATCTTAATCGTCTGAAATAATTATTCAGTAGATAGCTAAGCTCTCTACCAATCCATTCAATGAAGTATAATGAGGGATGTAACAAATAAAATCAACATACATGTACAGGACTCGACCAGATACAATTTGCACAGTTGCACGGGTCTAAGATTTACTTAATCATGTACAAACAAAGGTAACACCACTACATTACTTACACAATGTCACTAAATGTGAACATCCTTTTAGGAAGAATGATGATTGCCGAACAAAATGGGAACCTGTTGGCTCCAACGACAGTCAGTCCAAGAAACTTTACAACTGAATCATGACTGAGACGAAAGATAACTGAATCAAGCTGTGAATTTGTTAGTTAAGTATTATCACAAACTAAATGGGTAGAATATCTTGTAATATAGATAAATGGTCATCCATTTCTTTTACAGTCACAAATTGTTATATAATCAAATCATATTAAACAGGCTTAGAATAACATCTAGATAAACATCTGTTTAGGAGACTGTTCAGAATGTCGTGAATACATTTAGTCAATCACAATTGTTCAGTCAATACAAGTACTATGTACCTCATCTCCTACAAGAGATGAAATCATCTAATACCAAAGATCACATATCAGTGATTTGTTTCACAGAAATCGAATTACTTAATAAGATAACAAATGAATAGGAAACGAAATATCTGAAAATTAATACAAAATTATGGGCGAATAGATATTCCGCATATTATTAATATTTTAGAAGAAACGACAAATTTTAAAATAATAGTATAAATATATTCTTGATAATTTCAATAGTTTACTTTTATTCTGATTGCCTCCAAAAAGATGATCTGTCAACATTTTAGGTCTCTTAGGAGGCTTAATCCGACTTTTGTTCAATTTGTTGGTCGTCAGCTTGTCTAAATATAACGGTTCTAGATGATGACGATGCTTGGCTATAATCTTTTCAGCTTTTAATGATACCTGTTCTTGAAATGTAGGCAATTTAATCATATCTGGTAAGGTGACATCGGCGACTAAAAGAGCTTTTGACTGAGCTTCCAGATTGCGATATTTGTTATTTCGAAGATAATTTGCATAAGTTAACAAAGATGAGTTTAGTTCTGGATGCTACAATGTCGGTATATAAAAACAGAGGTTAACACTATCAATACAAGAAATAAATATAGAGAATAGTATATATATATATATATATATATATATATATATATATATAGAGAGAGAGAGAGAGAGAGAGAGAGAATGGAATGTGGCTAGCAGTATAATCCTAGCTCCGATTTACGATATACTTAATATGGTGATCCTTTATACTCCTCTTGCCCACGGCAGTTATTCTGAAATGCAAACATAGGTCCGAAGACTAATTGAGATTCGCAAGGGCTCTGGGAAATTTACATTTTATAAGATCACTACTCAATTAATTCATGACATTGGGTCTATTTGGCCATCATTATTTTTTTCATCTACTCCTATGAATGCCAGGACAGAGGATCGAAGTGAAAGTGTGGAGACGGTCCACGGGTGAAATCGAGGAAGCCTTAAGAAGCTTAGAAAGAGCCGAAGATATTCTATCCAACCATCTTTTGGAAGAATATTCTAGAACCTCTACATGTAGCTTCCCGATTGAACAATGCTAATAACCCCTTGTGTGCGGATTGGATAGCTATAATGATTTCATTTTTACTAAAAACTATAAATACTTGACAGTTTCGTACTAAAATTTGACACTGTCTGGAATAACATTCCTTCCACTAATCTTCTGTCTTCTCATTGTGACTTGGAAGGATTCTAGCGTTCTAGTGCTCAAGTTATACGCGTCATATCAAGAATATAAGCATCGAGATATATCAATTAGCGACGGGGTTAAAAAAAATTCTGAACCCTCAATCTTAAAATTAACGAATCAAGGTTAATAAATCTTCACTTATACCAGTCTTTGTGTTCTTACTTTCGCGTCGTAGGAATTGCAGAGGTCCATCGTTTCGAGTATAAGTGATAAGAGTTTCCGACACAACAATCAGCTACGACCAGATATAACAAGTAGCATTCAACTGACAAGTTATAACAGAAAGCTTGTTGGGACATTTGTTACACCTCCCCAACCAACCTAGCATTTCTACCTAGAGTTCTACAATTACGCCATCACTACCCAGTTGTTGACTCCATAACAAATGAGCAACCCTACAAATACATTAATGGCCATATGCCTTCTAGTTCCATAGATGACGTCACACACTCAGTCATTCACGACGTAGGACATGGCACTAATGTGTAAAGGCTATGGCTGCCGCACTAATTCAGCACAGTAAGATAAGTTTAACAAGATGAAACCCAAGGTAGTATTCGTGAAAGTAGAAAAAAATATTTAGAATAAATAAGACAGGTTCGTAGATATGAAAGAATATAAATTAAACTTTCGCACAGTATAATTGTTTTCCGATAATTAGACGGATAAATTGTCCGTGACTCAGGTAGCATAAATCAGTAAGAACCTAACGAGCTGTTAGTATACATCGCAAAATTTCATCAACTGATACGAAATACTACTATATCAATGAACCGATCAACACTGTTGATCATTTCATTCCTTATCATTACAAACTGGGCACTGATAATAATATGTAGTTAGTACAACTCTGCATCTTATCTCTTTCAACTCATTTTTATGGCCACACTTGTATTGTTTTAGATTGACAGGGATTAAGTTTGTGAATATACCACACAACAGTAACCGATGTCAAGACTATTTACAATACCAATGAAATTTAAATACCTCAAACTATCAAATAACTGCAACTAATAAGAAGACTTTCGATGCATAAATTTACATCACTTCTTTTTAACATTAAAATTTATAAGGAGTCAAACATTCGTTTGACGACTAGAATAGTTAAGTTGTATTAGTGCAAATACTTACCAGATTTATTTTTTCCAAACTTTTATTAAGCAAAATATCAAGTTCAACCGATTTGTCCTTAATAGATGCTAATTGTTGAGCAGCTTCAGGTAGCTCCATATTACGTAAATGTTCGAATCGTTTAACATAGTGACTGCGGTCATGTTCAACAACTCGGAATAAACGCTTTAGCGTTTCAAACAGTGTGAAATTCTGAGAGTCAATGGTATTGAAAATAAGCAAAATAAGACATACTTTACACTCAGTGAATCGATTCTTTGTTTTCAGATAACAATTACGAAAGTAGCAAGCATAAAAACACTATTAGACAAAATCATTTGGATTAGGAAAGATACGTATATAAAAATCCCTGATTTTAGAAGATATGCTGAGGGAAGAATAGGAAAAATTAATTCACGAATTTCTTATTATTTTTTAGGGAACTTGATTAGTATACGATTTATGGAGAAAATACTGACAATTTGGTGAGCACAGCTCTAACAACGTTAGATTTACCTGAGAGAGAACAAATAAACTATTACTTTTGTCAAAAGGATCTTGACAGCAACATCAATATTTATTCGATCGCAGTGATCAAGTGTACGGCGACTCACTAGTTAAAGAATTAGGCTTGTATCCACTCAGTCACAGGTAGCTTCAAACCTCGTTCAACCCGCTCCCGATAGTATCACTAGCCCTAATATTTAGTGTTTAGAAACCAAACACAGATCTGTACTTGGTGAGTTAATTCATCACAATAACACATGTATTTACATCCAAACTTTATTTAGTAATATAAAGCATAGAGATAATCAGTAGTCTGAAACAGAATGGAATAGGATACTCATTGAAGCAGACATCTATTAAATTAAATAGCTAGAAGACAATTCTTCTGGCAGTTAACAGTCCACTACTTCTAAAAGGAATAAGGACTAAGTCATTCATATTGTTTTGATGCAGTGTATGAAAATAGAATGGTAAACAAATATATTTTTTAGATGGTCTGCCTACAATATTATAGAATACAGTCCAATGTTAGCACACAGTAAAAATTAAAGATGAACAAAATCTTCACAGATTAAAATAAACTTTGAACGAATGATAATATTAGAGAAACTAAGGAAAACGGAGAGAAAGTGTGCAAGAACAAATATTGATGCAGAATAGTATGAGTTTATAATATTTCGAGGTTTCTCGTCAGCTGCTTACAACCAAATATGTGATAGAATTCTTTTACATTGAGATAGTGTAAAACAATTGGCATAAATGAATGTAAATAAGTGGAATGACAAAGATTAACAATAATAACTATATATACATATATATGCTAGAACAGGTAGGAGGTTAATTGGTGTTAGAAATAAGGAAACAACTCAGGATGAGTGGTGTAATAGTTTAGTGGGGTTCATAAATTGTGTGATAATTTTAGAGGTAATGAGGGATTCATGGAATAAAACAGTGATAACATAGGTTGCGTAATAATTGAATAGAATTTGAAAAGCTAACATAATTTAAGAGTATCAGTGGGCGGAAATGTGTGAATGAAAAGTTGATTTAAGTATTAGGTGATGGGAGAGGAATATAACACAAAATAAATAAATGAATAAAATAACCCAAATAACAAAAAACAAAAAAAAATGGATTACCAGGGTAATAATAAGTTTATTAATGTCTCTTTTTGAATAAATATTTATTATTATTTATTTATTTGAACACATAAATATTGGTACAGGGGGGCACCAAATATATATGCTCCCCCGAATGCCCTGGTATGGCCGAGAGTGGGGAGGGTTCGCCCTCCCTGTCGAAATACTCTCACATGGCCACGCGTATACAGCCTCTGCCAGGGAAGTTCTACTCACTGCTTTCTCGTGGCGGGGGTGTTGTTTACGAAAATGAGAGGACGAAAAGCGAACGTCCGGCGCTATAACCGGATCCCAAACCAATGGTGCACATGGGCTCCAGTATCCTAAATGAGCAAATGGCGTATGAACCAACTTTTGGTCACCGGCTTCCATGGGACTGCATCTCCTCACGATGCTCCACTGCCTTGTGGACTAGACCTTTAGGTCAAAGGCTCGGGGTGTGGCCCCCTAGGAAAACCACCTGCTTAGGTCTGGGCACCCGGGCAGTATCTCAGCCCACACACTAAAACTATGATGAACTATCTGCTTATAGAAAATATTTGAATAAATAAATCCGGTTTAAGTTTTTTTTATTGCGATCGCTTCAGCGAAACGGAGAGCAGTCATACTTCTTTGTCTATTGATAATTTTAAAAGCGTGCGAAATGTCGATGGTATGCCCGGTGTCAAGTAAGTGCCGAGCAATCGCACTGTTGAGAGCCCTAGTACCTCTCAGCCTCAAGTTCTTTGGAACATGCTCAGAAATGCGAACATGCACTATTCTCTCAGTTCTTCCAATGTATGTGCTTTGGCACGTACATGTGAATTGATAAATGCAGCTGGAGCTACTGAGAAAACAGGACTTGTCGATTTTAGTTTGTTTGAGTGAGTAGTTCGTTTTCCATACTGTAGTTAGTTTTGCTGCTGGGTAGGCGACTTTCAACGCGGAATTTAATCTGTGATTGATTAATCCAGCAATTTCGTCTCCTTTGAAACGTAGATATAAGAAGCAAGTTTTCTTTTCTACTCTATCATACATTGCCCGAGGATCGGTTTTTGCATATTTGTGGATGAATTTCACCGGATATGCATTTTCACGTAGGCAATTAGTGATGAGAGCAATCTTGTCATCCAGGCATTCCTTTGAACAAATTTTACGTGCGCGGTCAAAAAGGGTTCGTACAATACCCTTTTTGGAACTCATTGGACAGAAGCTATAGTAATTGAGATATACTCCACTCCAGGTATTTTTGTGATGAATATGTCTTTGTAATGTGCCATCAGATGTTCGTCTAATTCCAATATCTAGGAAATGGAATTTGCCTTCAACTACAGTAGAATTTAAACAGCGTATGTTTTTGTGTACTAAAAACATACAACTTCAATTCAATAATGTCTTTTACCGCCAAATTGATGGAGTAACCATGGGTAGCCCTTTGAGCCTAATTCTGGCCGACATATTTACGGGAAACCTGGAACAGGAGAGGCTTAAGCATGCAATCGATGGTACTACACTCTACTGTAAATATATTGATGACACATTTCTGGTCTGCAACAATCACAAGCACGGCATAAGACTACTCGATCTGTTTAATAAAGCACACAAGGATATAGAATTTACTATGGAACAGGAAGTCATCCTTTTAAGTAATCTATACAATCGAAAGAATTAGATCAGGGGGGATGTTGAATCTAAAACTTATGCGCACTACTGAGGCTTCGGAGATCCATCAATTCAAGCCCGAACTCAATGTGCACAAACGATACGTGCAACGTTTCATCCTTCCTTGGCTCTAATTCTCTTCTCTAGTATGCTTTGATCTTTCTTTGATTTTATTGTCATTTTATTTTTTTTTTAAACGGTTATCAGGCTCTATTATCCTCTAACAATTTTTAATGATTATTATCCAACTGTTTTTATGACATTTATGTTGCTCGTTTTTCTTTATATCTGTCAAGTAGACAACCCTTTGTTTATGCAACCGAATTTCGATATTTGAAATATCGAATCACTTTATGATCTCTCCTATCTATTTATAGACAGATATTTTATCAAGCAACCATAAATACGAATGTACAGCTTAAGTAAGTGATTTCGTCGAAAATAAAATTTTCTTCACTGAATCATCTGTATTTTATTCGATTAGACAACGGGTTACTTTAATAATAGTAATAATAATACATTGATAATATAGCTCAGATTTCAACCCAAATCATCCATGACCGATAAAAATTACACAGTTATATGATAAGAGTAAACATTCTATGTAGTACAATGTAAAACAATAAAAACAAAATTACATCTGTGGAAACTCACATTTGGATTTTCAATATTCACAGCCTTTTCCCATGCAGTCTGCATGGCATTTCTGCGTTCAAGCATTTGAGCTTCAACTCGCTGATGATGAGTTGTTTCCAAAGTCTCCCGATCTCGTTCTGACTGATTTTCCAATTTAACAAATTTACTCCGAAACTCCTTACGAAAATTAACAAAAAGTATCAAAATAACCATTCAAAATGCTTAGCACACTTTAATAACTCAAAAAGAGTTAATGAATAAAGGTATTTATATCATATTCTCAGGACTTTCTAAAAAAAACGTACGATTTTCAGTCAATAAATTCTAACGTATAAAAGTTGCTTAATCTAGTTTAATATTTCGCTAGTGGATCTCTAAAGTAATTTTTTTCATAACTTTTAATAGCTTTATATGGTAATTAAGTAACTGTAAAGAAAAAACAGATGTAATAAAACTTTCCTTTTGTTATTTTTCCTAATACTGTTTCACTGTGAAACTAATTGAAGTGAAGTGAATATTTGTTGTATTTATGTGTGGAAGAAAAATTAGATTCAACAAAATATATAAGTGAATATGGAGAATTTTCCGAAAAGCCCTTGAAATAAAAGTGCCAGAAATAGTTCAGATATTGCTATTTTAAAAGAACTCAACAATATAGTTGTTATCCTCGGAATACTTTGGACGTAGCGTTACATTATCTATTTTCTGGTTCCCTCAAAATAATCAGAAAATACTCATTCGACCCACAATGGAGTAAGAAATTAACACTAGGAACCAGAAAACGGGTACTCTTACCATACGTGTAAAGTATTTCAAGGATCATAAACACTGTTGAGAAATTAAAAACCAAGTGCACCCACAAGCTTATAATTCAACCCATACCATACAATCCACATCAAGGACAGAACAAATATGATTTATAAAATAAGCTGCAGCAAGTGGAAGAAACGTTACACCAGACAACATGGTCACCATCTTTATGTATGAACATATATCACCTGAGTAAGTCATAAGCTGCGAAAAACCCGGCTTAAGTTAACACACCACAACACAGAGAGACGGCGTTGCTTAGATCAGTGCATAAACAACTGTTAACACGAGGTCAATTAAAGCGTTGAAATATTGGGCAGGTGTAAAAACTGGACCATAGAATTTCAGGAGGCTTGGAACTTAGGTCGCTAAGGAATCAGCAAGCAAATTAGGATATACCCCACGATATGGTTTAAGAGTGAACTCAGTGGAGTGGCTGGGTTTATTTACTATCATCCTCTGAATTGCCCCCAAATGCCCTGGTACGGCCGAGAGTGGGGAGAGTCCGCTCTCCCTCTCAAAATGCTCTCACATGGCCACGCGTATATAGCCTCTACCAGGGAAGTTCTACTCACTGCCTTCTCGTGACGGGGGTGTTGTTTACGAAATTGAGAGGACGAAAAGCGAATGTCCGGCACTTTAACCGGATCCCAAACCAATGGTGCACATGGGCTCCAGTATCCTGAATGAGCAAATGGCGTATGAACCAACTTTTGGTCACCGGCTTCCATGGGACTGCATCTCCTCACGATGCTCCACTGCCTTGTGGACTAGACCTTTAGGTCAAAGGCTCGGGGTGTGGCCCCCTAGGAAAACCACCTGCTTCGGTTTGAGCACCCGGGCAGTTTCACAGCCCTCACACATATCAAATGAGATCTGTGTGACGCATATGTATTTGGTGCCTCCTTGTACCATATTCTATGTTAAAATAAATAAATAATCCTCTGAATTATAAGTTTAGTGTAATCTCATATTTCTCATTCTTCAGTTTTCTTAGTTTCGATTGAACTATGTTTATCTTCGTAATTTTCTATTAACATTGATATTATTTTCTATTGCACTATCCCAATATGAAGTGTAGCAACTTCGGCTGATAATCATTCAAGCCAGGTTCTATGTTACGACAGAGACTCAATCAATTGGTCACTAGTAAAAATGATAAATAGCTGCAAGACTAGGCTCGGAAAGAAAATAAACAAGATATAAGGATAGATAATGATGTCGTAATTACTGGGAAACACCATTTGAAAGCTTCATAGTTACACCACGCCAATATAATTATTATTATACAGTCCGCAGGAAAAATTGCAAAACATAAAAGTCCCGTGGTTACATTTGACAAAGAACCACTTGCTCACAGATAGTGTACTAAATCGCAAAAGCCGTGTGAAGGCTGTTAATTAAACTCCTTTATCCAACTTATGTGAAACCAGTTTAATGACCCATTTAATGAGGGTTACCTGTAGTAATCAGTGAGTCATATGAATAAACGCTATACATTTTAGAACGAAAAAACAAGAGCAACAACAGTAGCAAATACTGTAGCAAATTATGATACAAATCGACACGAAACAAAGAAGTATGAAGTTAAAACGAATAACAAAGATAGTCCCATGAGTTAAGAAACAAATTATAACTTAACAATACAAGACAGTGAAAAACTAGGGTTGAACTAAAGAAACAACTTTGTCGCTCACTTGAACTAAACTGTCCTCCTCGAGCTGACTTCTGATTGGTTCATTTAGCCAGTCTTCAGGTGAAATCAGTGATTCTTCACTTGAAAATTCTTGCTCTAGCACTTTTTCCCGTTTGTGTAAGTCATTAATCAATGCTAATTTAGCTTGACTATAACGTTCACGCTCAGGTATTAATAAACCAGAAGAATTTTGTTTCGTGGATGACAAATAACTAGTGACAGTTTTGTCATTATCCCAGGTATTATTCTCGGTGGTAGTTAATTTATTACCCAAGTGATTGAGTTTATGGGACATTGAACTGGTCTTGTTTCCAAGGTTGGTAAGTGGTTTCATAACGAAAGCAGAATCTAAAATCAACATTCAATAGATGAAACTAATCGTATATATATAAGTGCAACAACTTAGATTCTTCAAGAGCTAGCTTTGGTATCCAACATTTTGAACAAAATTTAATCTCAACGACATAATTGAGATATGTAATATCATTAAAATAGACTGGTTGTAGGCGGAAACTATTTTACTTGTACATCAATACTATGTCTACACTTGGGTAAAAAGTCACTAATAAAGTGAGGATTCCAAAAAGTAAGAAATCTACTGAATAAGAACTAACGCTGCGCTAGTAAGATTTACAGCGAAAAGACCCCTAAAATCGGGAGCTAATGCTTGAGATAGAACTAACAGCAGCTTCATGAATGACAAGTTTGAGTCTTGCTCCTTGCAATTTAGGTTAGGGAACTAGGTAGTGTCACCACTCCTCACGCTTAGAGTATGATTTGAAGCTAAGTATACGAATCTGTGCCAAATTGAAAAAAAAAATCATATGCTTGGTGCTGAGACACGCTCTGTGAGGGTTAATGATGCTATCAAGCTGGCCAAACAGAAGTGCGGTGGATTCGGGCTTGCAACCTTGCGATTAGAAGCCAAAAGCCATAAACACTAGGCTACTAATAATTAAGCGGCTAGAGCATGGAGCAATTCTATGAAGAAGAGGATGAACTGCTAACTCGTTAAGATACTAAAGTAAATCCCAATTTACCTGCGATATAAAATGATAACACGACAATTAATTGGTTTGGTTTGCAAAGAAACATCAAGGATTTACGCTAACTTGATATCTAAGTAAAAGCGTACAGCTAACGAATCAATGACAGTGAAATAATCGTAGTTCTGTTACTATCAAGCTAGATGAACTGCATGAAACAATAATATACACGATATTCTAGTGAAAAATGATTGAACCGAAGGGAAACAAAGCGTTTACTCTAACAAACATACAAGTAGCATAAACTATCCCTGATTAATGAAATGCTGTGGTTCAGAAGCGTCTGTATGGTGTTTACAAACGGGATTATTTTCACATGTTAAGAGAACTATGTTGGTGGTACTTTTTGTTGACAGTATGTAATTACGTGAAAATTGGGTCAACTAGACTTGAAGCTGAGATAAGCACAAAACAGCTCCTTTATGTAAAGCAGAATAATGTATATCGAACGACAACTCATGTAATATCAGTCAGTCTAGTGATCACGTGAAGATAATTTAATTCAATCTGTACACAATCCAACAGACCACATGCAAAACGTACTTACTTGTGAATTTAGAGCCAAGATTTTTACAACACACTACTTTAGCAGCCGCAAAATACATAGAACCAAAATCTTTTTCACTGATACAAGGTTTGAATGGTAGATAGCTCTGAAATCGCATGTTGTGTCTAAGACAAGCTTCTCGAGTGGAATTCTCCCAGAACTTGTAGTTTTCACAGACGTAACTCCGATCATTATCAAGGCTGCTTAACTGACAACCAACAGGAGTAACCAATGTGGACATCGGGATATTATCTACAGAACCAATTTTTAAATATTAACATTTGAAACATACCAAGGCATATAAATGGCCTAATCTCATGTCGTTCACCATTGATTTTTCGACACTTATCAAGTTTTTTATGTTCGAACTCACACCAATCTGACAGTACCACGTCAATAGGAGGAGAGGCGACAACTGCGGTTATGTTTCTTTCGCTGTACACTTTCTTACAATAATTCAAGATCGAAAATTCATCTTCAAGGCAATCCTGAGTAAGATCCGTTACCCAAAACTCATTGTTTAAATAAATGGCCGGTTTACCACACTCAAACGCTACTGAATATAAAGAGTGACCCGGGATGATGCAATTTAAGAGAACCAAGAATCCAAGAAAGTTGAAGAACATAATGGGCTAGAAAACAATATCCGAATAGTTAAAATATTTAGAATACAAATTTGCCGGACAAATCCAATGAGAAAACAGATTTGTTAGTAATAACATAACAAATTAGGTCAACCAAGTGACAGTTTTAGCCTGTAAATATAGGACAAACAAAACGACGTAAATGAGCCCCAGAATAAGTCCACTTCATGCACATGAAAGTGTTATGTGGTCAAAAAATCAGACTATGTACCTAACCAAATATTACGACTAGACCATCTAATAAAAGCAGAAAAACCCGCCAAACTTGACAATTTTAAGGCAACCGCTTATAGAGTTCAAGCGAGCTACCGACTGGAAAAAACAACTGTACCCTGAAACAATAACTGTGTTTTCTGTCACCTTAACTTCAAGGAAAACAACCGCAGTTTTTAGGTCCTTAGAATGTCGAGATGCTAAGTGACGGTGACAAGACTTAATGAGGGATTTTATTAAGGAAATCTCTTATTCATGCTATAATATAAAATTCTACTCCCGTGTTTTGGAGAATGCACAGTACTGACTCTTTAGGCTTGCGAAAATACTCTTTCTGTTCAAGGCAATTTTATGAATCTTTCAAAGTTCTATTTTCAATGTACGTGGTACATTTTCCTGAAAGCATACATGTGGATTTTCTGTTTTGACGACGTACTTGTCCCTGTTTAGCGATTTGAAGGGTCAATAAAACGTCTTTCGACTTTTGTCTATTCATTCATCGGTCTGATCTATTTCAGTACCCGGAAACTGTAAGCCTTTTAGAGAATGTCGTCATACATTAAAATAACTAAAGGTATCTGATCACCTCATTCCATAATAGTGATGCATGTGGCACTCGGTCACTCTTATATTTTGCTCAGTTTGTTTCGTATCCAAACAAACTCATTTGTTTGTTGTGAGGCACTAAAAAAGACAAATAACTTCGACACCTCATCAAGGCATGCGAGGTTGTTTGAATCCGACGCGAAGTTACTTAGATTAGGTGCTCACATCAAAACTGGGAATCAGGACATTGATTAGACGAAGTGGATGCATTACATGAAGTACGCTTATACATCTGCACACCGATTTCATTTGTAAAACTGGAAAGCTTTAAATATTTAGGAATAAATATTACAATAATAAGTAAACCTAACCAAAACTATGGTGGAATTAAGTAAAGAGACATATTGACGAAGGATGATGCTGTAAAGCATTTTAGCTTATCTATTTAGCCTGGCTCGTAACCTAAATTAGTGAGATCTCTATGGGCCTGTTGTCTGACTCCGTTTGACGATCAAGTGAATAAACGATGAATACACCGTGAAGATAAAGTCTGCGTTTAACTTCACGTGTACTGATCAATCCCAACCTATTTGGGTGATGGCAGCAAAGAAAGCCAAACTTTGATTCACTCAAATGGACATTGTGATGAGAAGTGAAAAAGAGAAAGAAAAGATGCTTATTCGAAATGCAGCTCATTACAAGCGTTATTATGGGTCACAATGAATGGCACGTAGTGTGACGAGGTAACAGGTACTAGATATACCAATAAATGTGCAGACTTACAAGGACACACAATGTCAACAGTCCTAAAATTACAGGAAGATGAATATTTGTCCCCATGTAAGTTAAAAGTCACAGTTTCCTGTTATAAGAATAAAGTTATCATGAAGATTAAAGTGGCTTAATAGTACATACTGTCTGGGTTTTTGGAGTATGTTTAAAAGCTGGGATAAATGATGCATGTGTGTGCGTATTTAACGATTAGTTACAAGAGAAAGACGTACTGGGTATGTTTGATGTATCTTATAGGCATTATTTTCCTGCGGCATAATGGTAAAGGAGAGACGGACTTACGGATAAAAACAAAATTTACGGTTTATATATATGTGTTGAACATCCATGTGACCATAGGCGAGTCAACAGGCGCAAAAAAACACGTACTTATAATGAATGTGAGAGTATAATACAGCAAAATGCTAGCGCCAATAATTCATAAATGTGAGAACAAAGTATGATAAATCGTCTATTGTTTATGAGTATGACAGATTAATAAATATCAGAAAATGTTTGAGGCAGTATTTTGCCATTAAGAAATTAGTCTGTAGTGCCAGTTTAATGCAAGGATCAAAGATAGTTATGTGCAAGCATGTTTTTAAAAACCGCAGTAGAGTAAATAGGTTGATGACCAATTTGTGATTTTGCACATACATAGGACGGAGTTTATATATATATATAATGAACATGTGGGAATAACCATAAACTCCGTTCAATTGATATTGTTTTAGTTGAATCTTCCCACTGATGTTTAGGACTGCAGTTGTTCAGTCTCTTATTGGCATATATGCATCTTGTGCGGACTACCTTGATATTACTCTGAGTCACAAACATTATGAGTAAAGATGGATGGTGGCTAACAGTGAAATCCAGGATGAGCGTTTCGTCCTATTTGGGACTAGTCAGCTGGAAGTACTTGTATTCAGGCAGATGTTTACTTCGATACTCGAACCCAGTACCGTTTGCTTCAAACGCCATCGCGTTATCCACTTAGTTACTGAGTCAATATCGAAACAATACGCACAGTATGCACATATGCCAATAAGAGACTGATCAATTGCAGTCCTAAACATTAATGGGAAGATTCAAGTAAAGCAATATCAAGCGGATTAAACTTCACTTCATCGCACAGGCAAGTGGCTATCAGGACTCAGTAGCTAAGTGGATAACGCGATGGCGTTTGGAGCGGAAGGTGCTGGGTTCGAATCCCAGAGTGAACATCAAATCTGAGATGCAAGTACATCCAGCTGACAAGTCTCAAATAGGACGAAAGGCTCATCCTGGATTCCACTGCTAGCCACTATCCATCTTTGCTCATAAACTCTGTGTAATAATTTACTATACATCAGGGGTGCATTTTTATTGATATAATCGGGGGATTCGAAAAATAAGTGAATGATGCACCCTGCAGTTACATATGTGTTAATAAATAGGTGAAATGAGCCGCTTTTTATCAATGGGCTACACATGAAACGTCTGAAATCCGATGAATGTTAACTAAGATGTGCTAAATGAGCATCTAACAAGGACATCAAAGTTATCCATATGAGATCACCATTACTACGAGTGTAAATGACGCGTAATCAAAGATCAGATATTCTAACAGACGACCAAAAACAGTTAAAATGGTCAGTCCTAACGAAAGGCTCAATTTAATTAGCAACATCGACAAACAATTAACAAAACACGATAAATGAAAGAAAAAAATAGGTATGATATGACAACACAATAGTGACCTCATATACATGTATTAGAATGTAATAATAGAGCAATCAACCAAGAAAAGTCTGTGCGAGCTTATAGGATAAATACTTCACGTTACTGAAAGACAGTCCAATGTGTTCATTATAACACCATAGTTTGATAAACAAGCAAATTAAATAGGTGAATGTCACAATACGATGTCAATACGAATATTTATAATAATTGTAGAACCTTATATGGAAACTAGACGCTGACACAAACGAAAATATTCATATTTGTAGTAAAATAGTCCACGAGCTACATAAATCAAAACTGCTAGTCTATATTTAATATGCAGTAAAAATAATCAGATTCCTGAACGTGGTTTTTGTACATTGCTTAAAGAACAAACGATCAGTCTGTAGGATAATTTATTGCATCGGTATTGAGCGCATTTGTCCCTGCTATAAGATTGATAAACTATCACTACAGACCGAAGACGCCAGTTCAAATATGTAATTTCCCGCTGTCCGACTAAACTATTAGGAATCACACGATTCCGAATGAAAACCTACCACCCACAAGCAAACGGGTTGGTAGAACGCTTTCATCGACGACTAAAAGCTTCACTATCAACTGCAAAAGTTCCACACTGGACGGGTGCTCTTCCACTCGTCTTACTAGGCATTTGCAATGCAGTGAAAGCTAACATTGGATACACTGCAGCTCGACTTGTTTATGGAACGACACCTAGACTTCCGGAAGGATTCGTGGATCCTTCATATTCTTCAAGTATTATGGGTCTAAACTCCTACAAGAGAAGGCTTACAAACGCGATGCGTTTAGTTAAACCTGTGTAGGGCCAGTGAAATTCCACTGAGCCCTAGCCATTGAATATCGAACAAAATCATCAATCCTCGTCAATGTCAAGGACAACCAACGCGCATCAGTTATTCGTACGCCATGGACTGGCCCATGCGGCAGTGGTCTTACCTTCGCTTGTATCTACTTTAACTAATATATTTGTGTAATAACGTCCTTTGTGTTGTACAGTCTTCAAAGCATCTATAGTACCTTGATACGTCAATGGGGTAATCTATGTAAGGTGCAGACCGCGAAGTGTGACTTCGACGTTAGCTAGTTTGTCACACCACTCACGTCTAACTCGAGTAAGCCTCCAATCATTTCGACAAAGATCATCCACGCTGGTGAACTACACCTGTTTCCACTAGACCGCAGTCAACTGATGTAGATGTGGATGACAAAATTGTGGCTAATTTTTTACATTCATCAGGAAGGATTCTAGAGCTTACAAAAACGTTTGGCATTCCCAGATAAACCTGTTCCACTTCCCTATGAAACTCTGAAAAAACTACTATTAACTCTTGCGAAGTCTACTAGTTTTGAATGCCGTGAAAGAGTGAAATTTCATAAAATGGTTCGTAAGAATAATGAAAGGTGAGAGAGTTAACCTTTGAATTGCAGAAACAAGCTGCCAAGTGTAATTTCGGTGACCAACTTCATGTGAAACTGGGTGATTGATTATTCGCATGAATTACCATACTGAAACAGAGCTCATACAGATGCCAAAAAGTCCTTTTGAAGATGCTAGAATCGCATGTGAAGCAGTGAACGAAATCGACTCCCAGAACATCAAGAATCCTACTACATTACTTACTTATCCCAATCCAATTCGTACTCATTCTCGTAAAGATAAAACTTCATCTAGGAATTGCGAAGCAGATCATAAGGGTGAGCACAAGTTTGGTAAACCTTTGTCCTGTGTATTTTGTAATGATAAGTGTGGTAAAATTGGGCATGCACAGCCAGTTTGTAAAGCTAATGTTCATTTTGCTTAAAGTTATTTAAAATTTATAATTCTAATCCTATTAATTTGAATGATTTTAATAGTCAAGTGCTCTCCTTATTTACAACTTCCAGTAATTCATTTCATATTCGAAATTGATTATATCTGTCCAATAATGCCTTCTACGATTTCGTTGTAGACACTGGCTGCTATGACTTTATGTCTTACTTTCTATCACGTGATTTATCCACCAATCAAAATACGACTTACACAATCTTAGCACTGTGTCAAACCACTGACGTTCGACCGGTATGAGCAGCCAAGCATCCTTATTGATCCTATGTTCGCCTAGCCAGTCCACATGAGTCCAGAACACCAATATCAGCTTCCACTATGCGAATCATATATTTCAAACATACTGTGTTTATATATCAAACAAACAGACCCCAACACCATAAAATAGGAAATAACATTTGTACACAATAAAGCCAAAAAGTGACTGTGAACGTGGAAGGCGGTAGTTGATAAACTGAGCATAATTTAGGGATAGTAAATCGTATAACAATAAATTATGGGTCGAAATTGAGCTTAGAATAAGAGGAATATAAATATACATAATACAATCATTGAATAATTATACAATAAGAATAATTATATAATATTAGTACATTAATAGTCCTCAGAAGTTACCCGCCATTTAATCTTCGCTGGGATATAACACTGGCAGTATCAAGTTTATCATTTCAGTTGAGAAGTTGGAGTCATCAAATCCCAATGCTATAATTATACCTTCCAAAGTTTCCACATTTACATTAACTGGTAATAAGCTTTCTATTCCTGGGTGTTGTAATTTATTAATTAGGGATGGTAAATTTTTAATTGTGAATTTCTCATCACTGAGCGTGGGTCATCCACACTAGGTCGCGCCAAAATCCGAGACCTGTTATCTCATACATGATTGGTTCATCCATAAATTATAGTCCCTTCATGATTCCTTTGTACTTGATTGACAGTTGATTATGAATTCCAAATACAAAACGTTCATTTGTGCTCATATAGTTCTGTCTGTATCCTTCACACAAACGCAGATATAAAGTCATGTGGGTCTGACCGGATAACATCACACAGAACCATATCGATCATATTTGTATCACTAACCGATTCGGAAGGTCAATGGAAAGTGTGAGAACAAAGAGAAGGGCTGACATAGCTGCAGATCAACACCTGGTTGTTGTCAAGATGAAACTGAAGCTAAAGAAACACTAGACAAACAGCACTAAAAGTTTCAGTACAGTCTTCCTTCGAGATACTGATAGACTCAACGAATTTAAGGTACACCTGAACAACAGGTTCCAAGCCTTACGAGATCTACTCAAAGAAGAAACTGCTATGGAGGACAATTGGAAAGGGATCAAGGACGCACTAACTTCAACGTTTCAGGAGGTTCTGGGCCTCAAGAAGCATCATCATAGGGAATGGATCCGTATCAAAACCCTGTACAAGATCCAATAAAAAAGAAGACAACAATTGGCAACAGCCTATCAGGGCCAGCCAAGGACAATAAGGAGAAGTCAATCACTGAAATTCAGGAACAGAGGAGCAGTTGAGTATACCAGTTCATAGAATTTTAGGAATTGTATATACTTTTCTGTCCAGTACATACTAGAACTCTGGTCATAAAATAACTCTTTATATAGCTTTTCTATACAACTATTATCTTATTTAAAATACTAATTTGTAGCAATACATTCATGTCTTTCTTCTGATCAAAGCACTTGGAATTTTCCAGAAGTCGTGATTTCTAACTATTCAATCAACAATAAAATTCTGGCGAAACTTGAAAAGAAATGCTCAGGAATTTCATGAAATGTTGAGTGCTAATTCTGATAACAGTGCGTTGAAGGAAATAGGCCTTTCAAGTAAATCAAGAACTTCACCAAATATAATGAAGACTGCATGGAAAATGTGCAGTCATGGAAACTGTAAAAATAGTAATAAAAGAGCCTTATTTTTAGGTATTCAAGAGATATTTTGAAATTCGGGGACGAGAGCAAGTTTACTGCCACAAATATGACATATTATTAGACGATATACCGTAACTACTATAAAATAATGTTCTTATAATAGCGAATATTTTGAACCTTGTAGTATGAGTAGTTTTCGTGATTGCAGATTATTATATTCGTATAAACGCAAGCAACAAATTTTTCGGCATTAAACAAAAAATCAACTTAACACCATACTGTTTATTTAAATAATTTGACATGTCTATCTATAGTTTCGGAACACTTGCCATAGTTGCTATGCCACACATGTTATTATAATTACGACGTATTCTTACATAGCCATCTTCTCCCCATGATGTCCCCCAACTATTTTTAATAATCCAGTATTGTACACCATTTTCTTCTCCATATCCAACAATCAGAACTGCATGATTAACTTCTGTAGACGAACAAGACTGGGATTGATATATGCCGTTCCTAAAGAGAAATAAAAATTACCTCCTTAATAGACGTTAATTAAAAATAATTTTTCAAAATCCTGCTGAACTTGTAATTAACAAAACTTGGCCATGTTTCCTTTTTCAATTCCCTAAGATTCCCGAAGTAATATATTGATTGTAATTACGAAACAATAGTCGGTTTGATGAAAATATTTAATGACTTCTTCATTGTAACATACTATATACTAAGTTATGTTGAGAATTTCCTCTTTTCATTGTGTAGATTTTCGAAAGGATTCTCCTCATCAAATTAAGTCAATAAACTGTCTTAATACTTACGTTAGAAACTGTAAGGTTGTTGTAAATTGATTATACGTTACTGTAAATTGCTGTTGAAGTTGTTACTACAGCTTACTGGCACTCTCATTTTATGTTTAAGTCACTCACTCAGTCAATCATCTACAACGTAGGACCAGGCACATAAATGCATCCGTCCAAGTTGTCATACCTCATTAGTACAACAAGATGAACACCAAATTCATAAAAGTATTTACTTCAATGATAGTAATATATAAAAGAAAGGTTGTGTAAAAGGATATAGTACGGGAAGAAATAGTTGGTTCGTAGAAAGAAATGTATAAAGTAATTTTAATCTCACGATTTAAGGAGAGACAAAGAGTGTGTACACCGACACCATTGTGATATATTCTGACACATGTCACCCAGAGTCTCCAACCATTGGTTACGATAGTCACGCGGACTCCAACCAAGTAGTCTGCATGTACCAACATGGCGAAAACCAGAAGTTAGTGGCTTGAAGCACTGATGCCACTTTTTGGTTTGGCCGCCCCTAACTTTCTTCCAACCATCCCCAACACTAGTCAGCATTGCACGTCGTGGTAACCGGTGTTTAGGCATACGTAACACATGGCTCAATCATCTCAGTCGATGAAGATTCACAACCCCATCAACTGATTTACCGTGATTCTCCAATATTCTGCGTCTAACCTCATTATTACTTACCCGGTGATCCCAGCAGACGCAAGCAACATTTCTAAGACATCTGTGATCGAATACTAGTAGCTTACGAGTATCTTCTACTCTTAATGGCCACGTTTCGCAGTCGTAAATTATAACAGAACGAACTGCCGTGTAGTATACTTGTCCATTAATTGACAGACGGATATCTCACCTTCTCCATAGGTGACACAAATTAGTACAAACAGAACAAGCTTTTTGAATCCGTGCAGAAATTTCATCAGAGACCAAACCATTTGGGCTGATCAGACTTCTAAGATAAGTAAGTTCAAGTCACTAAACCTTAATTGCTTCGAATATACCGTCATGTAGACTATAATGGTTAGTCACTATTGTCTCAGTTTTCAGATGGTAATACCTAGTGTTCTGGAGTATCGTCACATGTCATTAGTCAATTTGTCTATAAAACTTCTTGCCTTCTCATCATTCTAAAACATTTTACGAATTTATTTCTTCACTCAAGATAAAACAACATGGATAAAATTAATTCAATGATTATCGATTGACTGTTTGTATGAATTGCTTAGGTTCATCTAATATTTGCGAACATCTTTTCTCATTCTATTTAGCTATATGAAAATAATTAATAGCCTGCAAAGACTTACTTGTATCTCATAAATTGTTGCTCTACGTTTATGCCAGCTGAAACTGGTCCATGTTCATATAAAACATATTTCAACTGTTCTTCATCATTGAGTTTAATCTCTATAATTGATTTAGAGTAGGTTAATGATGATGATTTAATATGTTGACATTTACCTTCCTAAAATGTGAATAACAGAACAACATTATATATTTATTTTAAATTCATTTCGTATAAGATGTTTATGATATTCATTTACAGGATCCTTCTTCAAATACAAACCAACCAAATGAGCAGTGAAATGACATTTCACAATCCAAAATTACCAAAATAATTGTTTTTTAGTCAAAATTATATATTTTTTTGTCGAACTATTCATTCAAATATTCGTAATAACCATTTATTAGTTTTGGAAATCTGTATAGCAATATGACAAACTGTCACTTACATAAAAAATGGTAGTTGCTTGATTAATCAATAAGATGTTTATACTTCGGCAAAGTATAGGACTTGGCAGGATGAGAAGTGAAGACGAATATACTGATGCAAGTGAATGTAATTGTAATTAAGTGGTTGAGGCTTGTTCATCTAGTTAGATTGTGTGATCAACTTGTTATGTTGTGCAATAAATGTTGTCCATTTAATGAACTACTTACTTGGTTGGGAAAATGATATTTTGTATAAAATATTAAGGTTGAATTTCGAACAAGTGTTTGATTATTTCCCACGGTATACTGAAAAAAACCACTTAGACTTACACGAAAATTAAGCGCTTCACTGATATGTGTAGCCTCTAAGTAACAGGGATAATCGTAATACTCATCAGTTAAAGACATCATCTGCTCAGTTTTACACAACTTTTTTACCAATTCATATTTAGGAGGTGAAATATACAAAGACTTAAGTACCACATGAAATGAAGATATATATATATATATATATATATATATATATATATATATATTTCTAGTTGGTTAAAGTGTAAACGTTTTACTTTAAAAATTACTTCGAAACATAGTTTCTGACCTATATCAGAAATTCATTCAAATCAAGTGCCTTAAATGACTAAATGCAATGAGGCAAAAGCACTGTCCTACATTTCGTAGTCAATGGTAGTATAGTTTAAGACGCTATTAAAACCTGAATACGACTTCTTCTGGAACCGAAATTTATCACGTAAGTTTTAAAGTTTAAACTAAACGTCAAAAATTTATCAGTAAAAGAAAGATTATTTGTTGAGAATATTAAACCCTGTTCCATTTCGTATTAATAATAGCTGATAGAAAATAATTCCATATCCCTAATAATTTTATGGTTCATTCCAATTCATGACATTTTCCAACATTTATTTTACAATGGAATCTAATTTAACTGAATATTTTTTTTATGAACCTACTTGAAAAAAGATAAATTCATTACTTAAATGAATCGCTCAGTAGAATAATATTGTTATGCTTACATTATGTAAGTAAAAAGTCAATTTAGGTAAAGAGACATAGTACGAAATAGTTCTAAACATTTAATTACGGTGATTTTACAGTAGTTAATACAGAATCAAAGGCTTATAAAGAAGAGCGTTGCCAAACTGATTCAATCGTAGTTGTTGTATGAAATTGAAAATAATTTATGTAACAGATAGCAAACTGACTTTTCATCTTAACCTCGGTATATTGTTAGCACATGCAACGCTTATGGGAATTCTTCAGTATTACTTGTAGTTTCATTTATTTTATGATTATACTTTTTGGATCAATGTCGAGAATAGCCCTTGAAAGGCTGTATATCTGATGGGTGTGTCAAGGCACTTCAAAGTATTTTGGTCGGTGCGACGTTTAAGGTAGATAATGGTCTTCAAGTTGTTATCTACTTGATGTTATACTGATATACTGAAGTCATTTGGACGAATATTAGTTACAACTCGTGCAAGTGAGTTGAATGTGACCCAGTATACTGCCGACTAACTAAACTTTACATCGGAGAGATGCCATCGCTTTCATGCTGGGATGGACGGTATTTAGCAATGGGGTCCAAGACACATTCCTTATCCTGTTTGGGACTCTTCAGCTGAATGTATCTCTATCCTAGGGCTAACAATCACTCGGACACTCGAACCCAGTATCGTTCGCTTCACCCCACCACAAAAGCAACTGGCTTTATAGACTCAGTAGTTAAGTGGATAACGCGATGGCATTTGAAGCGAATAATACTAGGTTCGAATATCGAAGTGAACATCTGCCTGAATGCAAGTACTTCCATCTGATGAGTCCCAAGTAGGACAAAACGCGCGTCCTAGATTCCACTGTTAGCCACCATCCATCTTTGCTTATAATGCTTGTGACTTAAAGCAATATCAAGGTAATCCGAGCCAGATGCACATATGCCAATAATAGTCTGATCAATTTCAGTCCTTAACATAAAACAAATAATGCAAAAATGAATTAAAACTGTACATTTATTTCAACAACAAAAAATAAAGTTAAAACATTGTTCTCATTAGGAGTTTTTAAAAGCTTACATTGACTATTAAACAAAGTACTTTGAAATAAGTTATTTTTAGAATTGTTAACTTGAAAATAGATTTGATATGATTATATCCTATTCAGTACATGTTTTATATTAATATAGGCGTGACCTATTTATTACCTATTTACTACTGAGAAAAAAAAATTACAAAATGAAATCATAAATATGCTTATATTAGATGGTAGTTGTTTAATCTAGATGTATGAGTTTTAATAAATACCAGTAGAACTCTGATTTTAGAATTTGATGTTATAAGTAGTATGTTTAACAATAATAATAATAATTAAAGTAATGCAAGGAAATATATAGTATATCGAGATGGTGAAGATTTATAACTCAGGTAGATGATTTTGATGGAGTCCAGCTCAGAGAGTAAAACTCCATCAAAATATATAGTATTTCATTTTATCATTGATTTACTTAGAATGAAATGTAAACATTAGTTGCATACTGAGTTACACAAAAATAAAAAAATTTCTTAATTTGTGTTATTATACTGAAATATAAAATTTAGAAATAAATTTAAATTGCCCACTCTTGCTGGAGCACATCTATATAGTACAAAGTAAATCGGATGTGTAAAATAAACTTAGTTTTATGTAGTACGTCCCCACCAATCAGGTAAGAGTTCCTCAATGAGTAGAATGAAGAAAAAAGATTATTTCATAAATTACTAACTAGATGAGTAACTACGACTCTTAAGGTAGCTAAATGCCTCGTCATCTAAGGTTTTTTGGGGCGGATCCGTATGAGCGATGAATCCTAGAGTTTATACATACCTTGAACCCTAGATCCTCAAGAGTGATGTGTGCACTTGTTACAACTCTGGACAACTGATTTACAGTACTTAGTTCTTTAGAGGGTGACAATGCCTGTGGCGGCTACCTCATCGTGGTTCTTGCCAGGCACGTGGTCCCCTTGTAATGTCGTCAATGCCCTGTAACAAAAAGGGTCTTATGTTGAGCTGTTATGCAGCCGGGTGAGGCTTTTCGTAGAAATGTGTATGAGTGCTTTCGGCTATATTTGACTTCTACCCACCTGCATTGGTCTATTGGGCTGGTGTGGTTTGGATTCTTAACCGGAGTATGGTAGCCACCCGGTCAGGATGGGTACGTGAATTCGATCTCATGGTAACGTGCGTTTTAGATTCCCCTCTTGTGTCTAGATCGATCCTCTAGCTTTATGTTATAACGCTCGGTTTTACTTTGTCTACACGTATGCACGAATAGGACGTTAAGTTACCTTAGACTAATATCTACACTAGATTCTCGGCCAGTGTCTATTATACAGGACTTCAACACAACTTAGATCAAGAACACCTGATTAGCCTGACCACAACGTAATGTATTTCCACACCAAAACCCGACACAACCCAACAACAATGGACAGTCAATAATAAGTGAGTTATAATAATAATAAGGATAGGGGCATATATAACTCGTCTGACACCTGTCAGACTATCTACATGTCTGACTAAGCAGACGACCAATCATTATCATTCTCGCCCACACGTCACTTTATTTGAATCCTTGAGCGATTCAGCTGGTTTCACAAAGATGGTGGGGACTATAGGCTGTCGGCTGCTATGGCAAACGGCTAGCGCGTGGCTCGGCTACCTATGTCGGATCCTAGGAGTGGCTAGACTCTCCTTCTTTTCTGCCGTTGACGATTGGAATGTGAGCAGTGGTCTGGTTCAGAGGGATCTGGTTGGTTCTCAAGGCTCCTGGCTAGGGATGCTTCTTTGTATGATCTCCGATATGATGTAAAGTGGTCATAGGGACAAAACCACTCAACATGTATTTTCCTTAAGGTGAGGGGAAGCTCGAGCAACTGAAAGACCGTGTAACTCCTTGTGTTGTGAAAATGAAAGTGATAGTGGTCATTGTGTAACACAAATAACAATGTTATCATATTAATAACGACAATAATTCAGTTAAGATATACTAATGACATTTGATCTGATAAACACCATTTACGATAGTATCAAGTTTATTAAAGTGATGGAAGCTGTTAACTACTAACTAGTGTTTCTTGATTGTTATTATACAAACTAGCGTCTATCAAAAATTGATAGGATTAGAGAAATACACAGATTTCAAGTTAATGTATGATCTATCATAGTTGCTTAAAATCTGATAAACATATATCATCAGCTTTTCACGGAGACTAAAGACAAACAGGTTAAATTAAACTTGGTCATATCTGTATTCAGAGTAAACAATGAACCTAAAGTGTTTGTAAAATATTTAACTATAAGTGAAGGCAAAGTGAAAGGGAGATGTATACCCGAGAGTTCGATTTCGCACTGTAGTCATCTCTTAACCTTAACAATTAACAGAGAAAATTAGAATGATTCCAAATAGATATGATATAGAGGTTTATTTTCATACCAATAACAACATTAGGTTTATAGTGATGAATACCGGAAATGTGATTCCAAAAAAAGAAATTCCCTTATTTAATGCCAAAGCATATAACGAAATGAATATCAGAGTGGAGGGACACAATTACTGCTTGAGACATGTTCCTAGATCCTCGGAATACTTTGGATTACTTGATGATAGATTAACGGTAGCATTACAGTCAAAAGAAACAGGACATCAAATCGTTCCTTAGAAAAATAAAATTCTTCTGAAAAGTTTGTCTCATATGAAGAAAACTTAACAACTGAAGTTCTATATATAATCATAATCCTGAAAATATCAACAAATGAGATGGAGTCTAGTTAAATAAACCCTTCTAAAAATTGATTTCTGAATTTTTTTTAAAAAAAACATTACCTTGAACATTCATTCCTGTTTGTACTATCATAATATTGATGTTAGCAACCATGAAATTTTAATCTATTTCACTGATTGCTATGTCTGAATTTATTTCTAGTTGCTTTAGTCTAACATTAAAACAAAAATCAATCTTAACCATTTATCTAATAAGATATACTTTGACTAGCTTTTTTTAAAGTAGATATTTATACAATACTAGATGTAGACAAATGTTTCATCTTTTTCATTGGGTTTTGATAACATTTAAACACATTTATTATGATCATATTTAACATTAAATGATTCATTCTCACGATATACTTATTATTATTAATGGCTTTATACAATGTTATATTCTTGGTAGAATATAGAATTCTCGGCACAAAGTATTTCAATAAATTTCCTTTTCTTATTTCTTGATCGATCCTTGCGATGAATATTGAGTGATCTTCAGTTAGATACTAGCAGTCCAGGAATCGACATCTGAATAAAGTGTATACTTTTCGATACATATTACCACCTGAATACGTTATAAGACTAATAGACATAATGATGTGTTGAAGCAAAAAAGAAAACAGATAACTTGTTGAAATATTCAGATGGCACGAACGGGTAATCCAGATATTCAAGCAGGCACTATTTAAATATGATTGGTCAAACGTTTATTATAGAATTATTTGTAATTAAGTAACACTTCCATAAATATACCTTACAGGTACTTGGAATTTGCGACAGATCAACCCAAAAGGGACACTTCCAAAGGGTCAGAAATCAACAAGCAAAAACAATAATACCAATTATACGGGAATACGTGCAGCCGGGAACCACAGTATATACGGACGATTGGAGAGCCTACCTATGCCTGTATAGACTTGGATATGTGCATCAGTTCGTTATCCACAAGCGCCATTTTGTGGACCCTAAAATAGGAGTGCACACAAACAATATTTAAGCTATGTGGTCGAGGCTAAAGGAGTTCTTACGACCCTATCATGGCCGGAGAGGTCGACTATTATGGAATCATATGGATGAGTTCCTCTACCGCAAGCACTACGATTTCAGAACCTCAGAACCTCTTTCAAACCTTGATAAGTTTTTGAACCATGTAAATGAAGTATATCCACTTTAATTCTTTGGTTTTTATAGTATATTTTTACTTTATACTAACTGTCTTCTGATTGGATAATATTTTTCAGGGTCACTTAAGATTCGTTCAAAAGTCGTCCATAAATTAGTCTCGCCGCAAATTCAAGTCATCTGTTTATGTTGTCTTTTACAGAATATTATCATAAAATATAAAGTCTTAGTAGTGATGATACAAAATTTCAGCCGAAGATACGCTGTGTTTAATTATTTCTAATTGGTCAAATGAATTATTTTTCCTATGATCTTAAACTGTATTCTTTAATGAAATTGACAAAATCCAACTGATGAAGGAATTCCAATTACTTGTAATGATTAACGACTTTTGATATATCATAATCAACTAACATAGCTTTTTTCTGAAGTAACTCTTTTACAATAGCCTATAACCAGTAAAAGCCATTTACAGTAATATAATTAAGGATTAAATTCTCTTTTCAGAACTATAGTTAGTGATATTGACTAACCTTGTCTACTGACTAGTCTAACGATAAATAAACCATTTGTTGGTGATAGATATATATTTTTTTCTTTTCAAACAGTTAAGTGAACTTACTTTTGTGATATATATTAAAACAACAATAAACTGAGCGAAAAGGCAATACTCACTTTGGTCAAATAAGGATAACTTTCCTCTGATTGTATTCCATCTTTTTCAACATATCGAAATGCATTATTCATATCACCGCCTAAACAGCCGTGATTACCAAAGGAATGGCTACAGTCAATCAATTGTTGTGGTGATAATTCAACAAATGTACCAGTCCTATTTTTTAACTGTCCCTCTAATGCTCCAGCAGCTGAAAACGCCCAACAAGCACCACATTTACCCTGAACATAATAACAGGAAATCTTATTCATCACAAACATAAATATGAAGAGAAAATAAGCATTATTAATATACTACCTTTATGTATGTAAATCTGAAAGCTAGTTAACAGTTCTAGGTATTTCCAGTATCCTTAATCTCTCCAAACAGGATTTCCACGTCAGTTTAAAAGTACACAATTAATAATAAGAAACTATGGCTTAGATGAGAAAATGTTATATTGTACACTAACTAATAAGACAATTGTAGGTATCGATAACAAGGCTGGACTTGACAGTTTTAAATAAATTGTGTATTGGGTAGAGAGTTTATAATAAACATATTTTTTGTTATATTCCAATGAATAGGAGAATTATGCTTCTGCCGTTTCATGACTTAATGTAAGCCACTTCTTCAGAATAAATAAATGATTGGATTAAATTAACACAAGTTTATATAGTATAAATGAAACAATGTAGAATATTTTTGGCATAATCGAAATCATAATAGGTCTGAATATGTTAATAATAACTTATTCTTAGAACTAGAAAGCAAGGTCCGGGACAGAGTGGGTTGGAGAATGCTGGTCGGTGGCCTATGTTCCATTGGGGATAACAGACGTAAATAAGTATGTATGTTAATGTCAACTTATTCTTAGTCAAGGTGAATTAGTATGACCTGTCACTGTATTAATTTGTGTGTCAGAATGTGGGTATGAAAAGTGTATGCAATTGTAATATGAAGTAGTGGGATTAATTTAATTTCGGTTATTTATTCACTCTGAAGAAGTGGCTTACACGAAATCGCGAAACGTTAGAAATACAATTTTTCTATACATTGGGATATAAAAAAATATAAAATAATTGTTTCAATACAATCAACTGAGGTGAAAAAAAGAGTATTTAACAGCTTTCCAAATCATGTCAGTTTGAAGAAAAATTTATTTCCACATTTTCAGGATTATTTTCGTTAGATAATCACACTTCGACTCTAGAGTTATTTTCTATTTTATTTTATTGATTGAAATAATTTATAGTTGAATTCATGAGTCAACTGAAGCTAAACCACCATGAAAAACCTGGAAGCACTGGAAGATTGTTTCGTCATAGTATGAGACCTATCAGCAGTGCGCATCCACGATCCCACTTCATACTAGGACGAAATTGTGGTGCAGTGCTTCCAGGTTTCCCATGGTGATCTAGCATCAATTGACTCGTGAATTCAACTATAAAATTATTGAGATCTTCACAAAACCTCTTCTGAAATAATTTAGTCACAATTTATGAGGTATGAGTTACAAAAATAAATATTTCGTTGAAAATTGTTTATTTCACTAGTAAATCCTAATTGTAATTGTCAATTTTAACTAGTTGTCACTTTGATATATTATTTGAATATTCCTTCTTAAATGAATATTCTTCAAGCTGAAACATTTCTCGAACCATTAAAGTTGCCTTCCGTTAACCCTTTTTTTTCAATGTAAAATTTGATTCTAATTTTAAAATTATGCCCAGTTTCTTTTTTTTTAAACTCTTTGTTCATTAAATTCTGTTCGATAAATATTCTTGTTACGCAACAGGACGAAACATCAGTGTAATTATTTATTATCAGTATGAGGATTTGTAGAGATTACAGTATTTTAACGGTTGAATTCACAAGTCTATTTAAGCTAGATCACCAATGGAAATCTGGAAACACAAGACGATCATTTCGTATTAGTATGAGACTCCTCAGGAGTGAGCATCCACGATTCTGCACCCAGAACCTTTGGTCTTGCATGCGAACTCTTCAACTCTAGACCAGTGAGACGGCATTCAACGGTGTATATATCTAATTTCAATCGATACCTGATTTTGCATGACTCTTCATCCATTTTCGAAAATGAATAACTATCTCACATCCGGCATAGTTTGAACTCCACTGGTCATGGCTTTCTTAGTATTATTAATTATTTAAGAATTATAAATTTAACGGTCGTTAAAGATTTAACATAAATTCAACATTAAATTCAGTAACAATCCATATAAAAGAATCTCCGCCTGGAGTCCCTCCTGGGGCTACTGCTGGTCCCAAACCGGATAAAGAAGGAGGGTTGGGCATGGGGTTAGCGATCTCATTCCGTAGAAAACTAACTCGCTAAAATAACGCTAACCATATAAAAGAAACCTCACCTGTACTTTAACTTTACTTACAACACCTACTTTTCTCCAATCCCATGAATTTGGTATTATCTTTAATATTGTTTCATTTAAAGATTGTTTCAATAGTATTTGACTTTTTTGTTTATGTCTATTTAAATATTGACTTAAATTCGTTAAATACATTGTGCTTATATGACTCCAATTTAAATCAGAGAATTGATTCAATCCTGTTGTATATAATTCTAAACCTTTATCATGCATTTGATTATGATGTTTAATAGAATGTAAATTATACAACCAATTTTCACGGTGTTCATTATACTCTTTATGAGTAGAATAATTTTTATGATGTAAACTTTTCCATTGTAACCATAATAAATCATCATCATTATCATGATCATTATCATTAGTAGTGTGATTTGTATGCTGGTCGATTACATCATAGCTGCTATTATTATTATTATTATCATTATTATTATTATTATTATTATTATTATGAATGTAAGTATGGTTTGAATAGACATTTACCACTAAATGTAAGTAAAATAACAATCTAATCATGTTTTGCAAATTAAATACATTTACTTGTTTATGTAACCAAAATTAGGCCAGTAGTTAATGAGACAACATTTTTGTTTTAATTTGTAACATCATTTAAATCGGTAACATGTAAGAATCTTAAATGAAAATGTCAACTATGCCTACTGAAAGATGAAGTGAATATATGACTGTGAAAAATTAAATATATTATATTTAATATATTTATCAAATATAATACAGTATTTTCATATAGACGTATTTAGTTGAAATTCGAATCAACAATTCAATTTATACTTTCTCTATTATTTACAGAAATTTACCGATGTTACTCGAAGGTCAATCGACTGAAACTATGGTTACATACTATTGTTATTATATATATATTGTCTATATGTGATGGGAGTAGAAATTCCTTTTTTTCATCCTGAATATATTACTTTTTGAAATTAAAAAAAAGCTAATAAAATATTCCATTAATAATTGGACATAAAATATTTGTTTATATTTACGTAAATAATAAGTTGTCCGTGATACTTATGAGTGATGTGCTAATTGGACAATGTTGTTTATTGAATGAACTAAATAGATGAAAATCACAGTAGCTTGTATTACCCATTAGTGGATAATCTGTTGAAAGGTAAATCGAATCAAAGACGAATTAGTTTTTATTTTAGGATACAAATTCTTAAATTAGCTAACTCAAGCAAACTGTTAATATATTAGCTCATTTCTATCTAACATAACTCAGTATTAAGAAATACAATAGGCGATGAAAAGTTAAATCAAATTATCTTCGTCAGGATAAACTTTTCTCTGAGCAAATATCATCTACAGTGAGTAACTGCCACAGATCTAGCACAGTTGAACTCCATTAGTCATGGCTTCTCACTAGAACTCTGAGAAATACCTCTCGAATGCAATCTTTAGTTTTTAGTGAGAAGCCATGACCAAGGGAGTTGAGACGTGTCAAATATCATCTATTTTCACTACTCTATACAAACAATCCACTCTATACTTTATAAAATAAGTCATTTTTTGAATGCGTAACATGTAGTCAATAAGCACAACAAAGTTACGCAACTTAAATTATAAATGGTATTTAGAAGTTACATAACACATAAAATTCACATCACAGTTTAACTTCGTTGCATGATTTAAATACATATTATTTAAATTTATATAAATACTATCTAAAAAGAGTAAATAAAAAAACCTTGATTCATTCTAGAACATAGATATAACAAAAATTGTAACAAACATGTTTAGATGTTTCAAAGAATAGTAAACAGCGGGAATATTATTAACGTTTACCAATCCTTCAAAATGATCAACAAACCAACCCAGTTTCTCTACATTTCGTTAAAGCAGAAACTCATACAGGATTTATGTGTTCAGAAAGAAACAGTTGTTAATTTATCATTGCCTAGGTAAATTCATATTATTGATCAAAGCTACATGTAACTATTTTTATTGTTATTTAATGTTTCCTCAACCTATTGTTATGTCATCGATATTAAAACTAACTTTCCATTGATCAGTGTTTTCACTCGCCTAGTCCTTTAAGCTTACATAAATTCTTCAACTTCACTATAATTATTACACAATCCGTCTTGTCAAATTCCACTTAATTATTGCCTCATCCTCTCTGTGTTAGGACGAAAAATATGTCCGTGATTCCACTGTTAGTCACCATTCGTCTTTGCTTATAATGCTTGTGACTTAAGGCCAAGTCGAGGTAATCTGCACAAGATGTATATATGCTAATAAGAGACAGATCAATTTCAGTCCTAAACATCAATGGGGAAATTCAAGCAAACAATACAAAATGAATTTACATTGTTGTCCTTCTTCTTGTCATTAATATCTATTACTTCGTATTATATCATACTCAATATTACACTTTAGTACAAATATGGTTGTAAGCGGCCAAAGAAAATTGACGAAATATATTTATTTATATTATTCTGCCCTTACTTTATTCAAATAAGAAAGTATTTTAAACAGTATTAGAGAATATGAGTTACAGAGTCCTAGTCTCTAGAATAATTGTCAAAGTGTAACATTTCTAAAAGACATTGATGCTGTTTGGTTATTGTCAGTTAAACTTATCAATAAACATTTTTTTCATGAGCACAAAGGGTTTGTGGTGAATAGTAAGTTTTATAGTTTACATCACGGACTCCAGTTAATTAGATAATATTGAAATCTAGGATGCACTAAACAGCTGTTTCATCCTAAGTGGGATTCTTTAGCAGTCTGAATCCATGACTCTACCCAAGATGGAACTTAGAACTTTCAGTTTCAAAACGAGTCAGCATCTAACGGTTTATATATTTTTCTTTCTATATTTAATGGTCAATGAAATTAAGCAGTTAAGTTTGAGCTTCTCATAAAAACGTTTTGACTGGAAGATTATTTTCGACTATGTAGAACAAGCAAGTTAAATCAGATTATCTGCAGTTACCGTTGGTTGAGAATAAATCAGTGCATATTTTTTTAGGGAAATCAACTGAATACAAGTTGCATATACCGTAATATCAAAATATAAGGACTTCTGATTCACTTACTTACAACGTAGGACAAGGCAGATATATGCATCGGTCCAAATTGCTATAACTGATTAACACAACATGATGAATACCAAATTCATGGGAGCAGTTACTTCAATAGTAGTAATATATGACTCATTTAGGGTATATTTATGAATCAGTCAGTCAATGTGTTTTTTGGCGAGTAATTTGATAGTACGTCCGTTTGAAAATGAAAAAAATGGTAATTATTCCAGGAATCTTTCATTGCCTGATTTGAATAGAATTCTTTTGCGAAATAATACCTTCTAAACAGTGAATCTTAAATAATAAATTATTTTGAACGTAGATTGAATAGTGTTCGTGGTCATTAATGCTTTTAAATTAAGCGACTGAAAACAGTGGATTCTACATACTATTATGGATGAAAAAGTATTTTGTTAACAAGTGCTTGATGTATATTAAGTTCAATCTATAATTTTTTCTGGTTATCGTTTGTTTGGCGAGTTAGTTTTCTACGGGATGGGGTCGCTAACCCCATGACCAACCCCCCTCCTTTATCCGGGCTTGGGACCGGCAGTGGCACCAGAGGGGCTTCAGATCGAAATTAGTGAAAGGTTTCATGATCACCAATACTGAATGAAAGTGATGATCACCAAATATTTTATATCCAACATGACTGGTGACCAATCAAGTTATCACCCGTTACGTTCATATTCTGTAAATTGAAATAGCTGATTTTTCTAAAGTGTCCAGAACAAGCAATATATTTCATTTTCAATTATAAGACATCAGATTTTAAGTCTAGTGAGTTTTCAATTTACTTAAGACCATATGCATGCATGTAAAGAACACTGACAATCAATCGGTGACATACAGTAACGATATTCGAGTTGTGGTAATAAAGAAGAGCATGAAACAGGATGACAAAACACAATATCTATCTAACTGTTAAGTGTAAGCGGTTAATCCGCAACATGATAGTTAACTAAATAGTTGATACTTTAGTGTTGATAGAACTATCTATTAGTGATTAAAATAGGTAAAAATCTTGAAATCCTCAAATGACGGTCATTTTTGTGCTACATGCGAGCTTTTGCACCGAATAACATAATTTCGTCCTAATTAGTGAACTTCATGTAAAATGTCAATGAATTCCACTTTCCAAAACAAAGTAATAATTTGCTTTCATTGGGAAGATGTTTCAGGTGATAATCTAGATACCTTTAGTGATAAAGGATAATGTCAAATTCAGAGTAGAAAATTATTTCAGTGTTACGAAATAATGGGAAAAAATAGTATCGTACAATTGATGGGGAGTAAACTTTTAACGCTTACTGTTGACTGCCTTTGTGAATCGATTATTATACTTGAGGAACTCATTGAATGCCTCAGACTTTAAAAATGCCAAAATTCGCATATTCTAAACATATTTACACCAAATTTTAATGGTTATACTGATTTAAAATTAATGTCACTTCTTTTTGATTCTAAGCCTAGTACGATAAACGCAGATAAACTTATCATTTTCTCACTGAATTAGTTTATTTTGAATGCCAAACAGTTTACTTGAAGATGAACAATTTGATGGTACGAATGGAAAGTGAACTTTCACTTCAGGCTCATTAATAACACAAAAGCGACATACATATGTACATCCAATATGGCCGTTTAACAAAGACTCGATTATGCAATGTGGAGCAGCATAGCGAGAGCTACAATTAATCAGATACATAAATAATTTAATGACATGGTCAAATAGAAAACTACGATTGTGCAATGATAATAATTCATTCGATAATGGGCATACACTCTTACGAAATCAAATCATATTTAAAGTATAACGAGAATAAATACCACAAACAACAAAATCATTGTTATTTCCTTTAAGACCAACAGGAATAATGAATTTGTAAAACAATATCTTGTACATGTAAATGTAGAAAAGTTAAAAGAAACTAGATGAAAACCATTCATATATTGATTTTATATATATTTGTCTATCTTCAAGTGAAAATGAATCAGTTATTCGGTCAATTAAGTAACCAATTCGGTTACTACACTGTGTATATTGCGTAAATGACTTTCATCTAATCCATATGTTTTACATAGATTATACAAAAAATATCTTAACTAAATCATTTTTAAGTATACCATGTGGTAAAAAAAAGGAAGAATGAGAATAACCAAAAGTTTAGAAAAACGCTATGACAATAGAAACGAACGAAAGGACTAAAAAAAGAATGAAAGAAATTAAGTATTGCAAATATTATTTATTATTTGATTATGATGAAATAGTTTGGATTGGTAATGAAAGATGATGGGGTAAAACGCAGCAGTACAGAAAATTAGGAAAATAGAAACAGAATGGATTAAGAAGAGGAGAGAGCCACTTTCCTATTCACACAAAGTGATGTCAAGGAAATTTCTAGAATGGGAAAGAAAATGAAAAAGTATTAAGTAACCAATATATATATAATATCACTACTAGGC